TGGAAGGGCTTGCCTGGAAAGTGTACTAATGCTCTTATTGACGCCGGGAGTGTTATTGTTCCTAAAAACTACAAATTTCATTAAAACTACACACTAGTTTATATAATCAATTGTTAAACTGATTCATTTGATTACTTGATAATTTCTTATTTGATTTAACAATAAAAAACGCGTTTATTAAAAATGCACATTTGAAAAACATTTACAGTAGCGGCCACCAGGCCGCTGGTGACGTGGCTTTGCTCACGCGAAGTTCGAAACCGTTGTAAATGCTTTATAAGCTGCTCCCTCTACCATTAAAAGTCAGTCTGGACTACGTCATGCTTGTAAATCTCTCCGCGCGCCGCGTTACCAAACCGCTTCTTTACTTCAAAAAACGAAATTTTTTCTTTAATGATGAACCATCAGGCAAATCAATAATGTACTTTCTGAAGGATAAAAAGAAAATCGAAGCTAACACTAGAACAGCTCCGATAATTGAAGTAATTTCCAGTTCTTCTTTAAAAAATGCCACTTGAAAAACAAATGCAAAAACGGCCTAAAATATTGTAAAAAATCAAGTTACAAAATGAAACAAATGAACGAAATACTTACGTCTGAACTAGACCTAACAATGGAAACAATGCCAGCTTCCTCAAGTTGACATGCTTTAGTTAGAAAGAATTGTCCATAAAAAGAGAACAACCCCAAGCCTATAACCCAGTAGGCATTGTAGTCTTCGACTGGAATGCGGAATGAACTTTCGTTTGGATTAAGCAGAATACTGCCAAACTGAATTAATAGCATTTCTATGAATCCAAGAATGCCAAAATTAAACAACACAACGCTGTATTTGGTTTGGCGAATCTAGTTGAAAAGACGTTAAGTACAAAAGTTTTGTAAAATTATAAAGTGCAAACCTTTCGAAGAGAGATATAAACAAATGACATTGTGAGGATGCAAATTAGACAAAGAATTACTCCAATTAAGTTGTTTGATAATCCTGATGAATCTTCCTCTTTATGAGTTGAGTTTTCTGAATTTGACGACGTCTCACCATTGCTGTCACCCCCACCGAAAATTGACAAAAAATCAATTTTTGAAGCCAGGGCAATGCCAACGGTACTGATGACCATGGCGAAAGCATGCCACTTTCCGAATGGCTCTTGGAGAATGATACGAGCAAAAATAAAGACAAAAACAGGAACAGAGAGCATAAAGATGGTAGCGTTTGCTAGAGGAATGTACTGAATGGCCAGGTAAAAGAGGAAAATGTTTGTCGTGCCAGTGACACTGCGAACGAGCATCCAAAATCGCCAGCTCCAACTACTTGGACCGAACCAACTTTCATTAGACTCAGTCACCAGTATTAGTGTTATTAGTATGAGGACTGCAGAATTTGACAACTCTTTTTAGTATTGACAATGCACATGAATATAGAATTGACTTACTTCCAAAGCGATAAGTCGTCATATCAGCCACACTAATCTCTGAAATTGACTTGACAATGACTGAGCCTATTGAAAAGAAGAACGAAGCAATGATAGTCAAAACTATGCCTGCAAATTTTCGCCATATTTTGGAACTTGATTTTTTTTCATTCCTCTCAGAAGTGATTTCAAGCTCAGAGGTCACTGTTTCTAGACTTTCACTGTCAAAGTTTTTTACAGTGATTTCAGTGCCATTGATAGTTGTGGAGGATTTTACAGTCATTCTGCAGTTTTACAGTGCGACAAAACCGATTGTGAATGAAGGTAAAAATGCCTTGGGATTTTCACCTCAGTGCAAGCTGAGGCAGATGAAGTACGTTCAGATAGACTGCCTTTTTATACCGAAAACGATTCGATTGTAAAATTTATAATATACGACGCCGTGGCACTACCATAGTACTTAATCCACCAGTTTAAGGTAATTTATTGCAAAAAAACGTTGTGCCTTTCAATGCTAAAATGTCATTTAGTTTGCAATTTCTGCTAATGCAGTTTGAGCTTTCTTGGTTCATTCACGTGGTTAACGCAGCATTTTTAAATACCTTTACATGAAAGATAACAATAAATTAATATCATAGTTTTATTTCGAAACAACTAACAGTGTTATTTAGCAAAAGAAAATTCATTTGGCATCAGAACGCCGCCACTGACTGTTGACAAAGCTACAACTTGGTAAAAAGTTTTAAAAAATTGTTTTATTTAATTTTAAAGCTTTCTTTTAATAAGTTTTAGATAAAATAGAGTCATATTCCAACAACTTTTCATATGAAAAATCAGTTAACTTTATTCTTTTCCTTGATTTCCTGTGATTTTTTAAGCATCGATTCTAACATTTTTCTCATCACAAACTTTTCGCTAAACCAGCCCGTAATAGCCATAAGAGTAGTATTGATGAATTTATGCTTGGGGTGACCATTAGTCATTGATTCACTGCCGACCGCTTTCAGTGAGTAGCTAACAAAAGACTTGGCTGATACAGCAATTGATGCTTCATGAAGCTCTTTAGACATCTTTGTCACCACTTGATTCGGCGTAACAGTCTGCACAATAATATCTTTTGAGGCGTACTCCGCTGCCACTACTTTTCCTAGATAGTTAATGTAGGCTTTAGTCGCTCCGTAAACACTGAATGTTGGAATTTCAATTAGCCCTGCAGAACTGGAAATAAAGACAATGACTCCTTTCGGGCGCTTTTCATCAACAGACGGCTTTTGGCTGAGCATCTTCTTCAGAGCAATGTCAGTCATTTGAGTGGAAGAAACTACGTTGGCGTTAATCTGCTTCATATTGAAGCCTTCCGGGTAGTCGGCGAAAAGTTCCGGAATCGGATGCAGAATGCCGACGTTATTCACTAAAATGTACAATTGACCGTCCAGTGAGTTGATCTTTTTCTTGATGTTCTCGTAAATGTCTGTGTGGGTGAAATCGACTGCTAAGTACTCAATTTTCAGCTGCGGGTACTTGCCGCCAATTTCAAGCGCAACATTTTGCAGTTTTTCTTCAGTGCGGCTTAGCAGCAGCAAATTGAAGCCTTTTTCCGCGAGTTGGCGTGCATACTCTAGCCCTATTCCGTCGGTTGATCCAGTCACTACGGCCCAGTCATTTGGTGCGGCTTTGAGGATACGCGAAGACTTGCATCCGCTGCAGCAGTTATTGCTCAGCCATCCGAGCAGGAGTCGTGCCGGCTTGTACACAAAGACATATCCAAGAAAAACAAGACCAGATATTTCTACCACACTTGGAGATAGGTACTGTGTGAAAAATTGCATTTTGGAAAACGTTAAAATGAGATGAGAATGACAACACAAAAATTAACAGCACAAAAGTTGTTGCTGGCTCAACTTGAGATTTGGTGGCAATAAAGAATGAGCGTCAGTCTGCAGTACTAGCACAGCACTAGTATGTCTCAAGGCTTGTCTGGTGTGCTCATGAGTCGATTTATATCTTCTCTCCGAGTTTTTGTACTCGGTGTTTGTGTGCACTTGCAGTGCAAATGAGAGAGAGAGAGAGGACAACAGACAGTTTGTAGTCTGCCTCACAGGTGCTCTCCCTCTTTTCTTCAGACTGTCAGCGCAATTTAGTGCGGTGTGTACTGCAACAGCTAGCAACACCGAAGTATTTTTGTTTGCAAATTGTATTTGCTTGCATCATGTTCCAAAAACTTGCATGTTTTGCCTTTTGAGTAAAGTAAACAAACAAAAATATATTAATAGTCAAAACTCAATTAGCAAATTAATTATCATAACAGGGGGTTGTACGTTTTTTGCATAAAAAAATTAATTTGTATCAACCTATGAAATCGCACATTGATAAAAATTATGCGGTTTAAATCTCATTTTCTTCGTTTATTGTATTTATTTTACAGTAATTTTGCCCTTCAACTTAAACCAGTATATTTTAAAAAATGGTTATCTATAGGGAATCTAGTGTGGACGACACTGCTTTTTTTATTTACAGAATTTTACATCTACTCAGGCGTATTTTCAAGTCTATACAGCAATTTAAATGCTCAATTTTTCAATGATACAGTAAATCGTAAATTATTTTTAAAATTATATTCATATTTAATTTTGACAACTGGGTTTTTAACAAACTTTTCAATATTCTGTTATTTTGTTATTATAAACTTTCAAAACAATCAACTTTTTAAGCTTTTGGATTCATTTAATGTAAAAAGTTTTAACAAGATAACGTCAAGTAAACAATTTTTTGTTGTAATTTTTTTAATAAATCAAACTATCAATGTTTTGCAATTTCCTCCGTTTTTGTTTCAAAACAAAAAAAGCTGGGATAAACCAGATATTTTTGTAAAGTTAATATTGTCTTCAATTTGTTTTTATTTAATAGAACAAAGCAAAGTTATAAT